TACTTTTCAATATCAGCATAAATAAGCATTGGTTATAATAAAAAAAATAAGATTTGTAAGGTTTGAACTAATATTGCATTTTGTGAGACTACCTGTATCTCTGTCTAATTGTTCCCCAAATGATATAACTGGAATTGCTGATGCAAAAAATATATATGTCGTGGGGGCCAGAATCCTGAAAACATTAAAATAAGTCATCAAGCTAATATCACCATCAATGAAAATACATTAATGAGCAGTAGTAAAAGCTAAATTGGCCACAATCTTTATATTATATTTCTAACCGAATTCAAAATTCCTGTGGTAAGATAGCATCATAAGTTTTTTCTCATGACATGAGAAATATATACCTGAAGCCTGACTTAAAGCCACCAGTCCAGTCTTGCTTATAACACTTCAATCTCCCCTGAATATCATTTTTGATTCCGCGAAATGGTACAAAGCTCTCTTCCATGGTTTCTTTTAGACCCCAGATTAGAAAGCACTTTCCTCACTGCTCTCAGAATGAGACCAATTTCTTCAGTTCTTTCAGTATGAAACTAAATCAATAAGTTGTCAACGAAGAAGTAGCATTCAGTGTGCTTTTACACAGGTAAAAGTTGGCCTTGGATGAATAAACAACCTCAAATCTGTCCAAAAAATAGATGGATTTGAGTAAATCAACACAAGCAGTTAAAAGAAATTATTCATTCCACATAGTTAAAAACATACAATGCAACATAACACAGACAGAAAGTTCAAAATCTGAGCTTTTTAAGCACAGCCCAGAGTCATAAATCACTGCAACATTTTATTAAATCTTGAGATTTCTTAGGCTTATAAGCATACCAAAGTTCAAAAAACATGAGAAAAACGTTTAAAATGATAGAAGTATTGAGTGATTAAGCTATAAACAAAGATAACAACTTCAACTTGTATTGAAGATCTACCTTCAAAGCATGTGGAAACACAGAAGAATAGCAAAGGAAGCTCCAAATATATAGCCCTGAAAAGCTTGAGAAGATGACTGTAGATTTTTAGCTAAAAGTCACAATGTGGGTCACAAGGAAGTAAAGTGAGCATCATTGTCAGAGCTCCAAGTTCAACAGCAACAAAAAAGAAAAGAGTAAAATTAATAAAAAAGAAAAATAAAATCAAACATAAATCTTATATTATAATAAAGGACGCCTGAAAAAGGCTAGTAAGAATCAAGAAAGACAGAAGATTCACAGTGATTCCATGTAGACAGTTGAAGAGTACTCACCAAATAAAAGAAATGAAAATGTTGGCTTTTTTCCTTGTCTTTTAGCTTCAGGCTCTAAGCGAGGGGAAGACAGAGTGAGAGAAATTTGATTTAAAAAAAAAAAAAAAAAAAGGTTTCTTTTTAGTGCATGAGATGGTGAGACTTGAGAGGAAGACAGAATGCCAGTCCATAACAAGCTGGCCTTGAAAGAACCAACCCAGTTACTTCTCTTACTACAACTCTTGTNAAAAGGTTTCTTTTTAGTGCATGAGATGGTGAGACTTGAGAGGAAGACAGAATGCCAGTCCATAACAAGCTGGCCTTGAAAGAACCAACCCAGTTACTTCTCTTACTACAACTCTTGTTGCAGTCACACTCTTTGGACTATTGTCTTGTCTTATTTTTAAACCTTTTTTTTTTTTTGGTCTCCCAATTAAGGGTGTTAAAGTTCAAACTTCAAAGTATATTTATTTTTATATTAAGGTTATTTTTCCTTGTTAATAAATAAATATTTTTATAAATTAAAAAAATTATTCATTAAAACTACTACTTATTATGTTTGGTGCTTAGATATTTGTATCAATGTTCACATTTATAAACCACTCCTAGATGAGATGATAGAGATTCTTAAGTGTATTATTCAAAAGATTTTAAATTTGATTCATTTTAATTACTAATAGTTATAACCACTAAAGAGTTTATCGGATTATTAATTTTAGGACTCTAAAAAATTAGTTAAAATACATGTAAATGGGTCTGAAACAACCCTCCCCCCCTCTCCTCCCCAATAGGGATGACTATTAAAAAATTTATTCAATCATTAATTTTATGACTAAAAAATATTAGCCAAGATAAATATAAATGTTTGAAATAACCAACGCGCCCAACATTCACATTTGTATTATAAATTTATTGTTACAAGTAACGTCGGGGGTGCATTAATAAAACAATTTATAAGGGTTGGTGGATTTATCTTATGATGTGATGTCTCTCAAGTCTGAACTAAAGGATATCATTAGTCTATTCTTTTATAAAGTAATGTTATAATTATCGAAGTAGTGCATAGATTTATGCATTGAATAACGTGATAAAATCTTAACCGTTGATTAATACTAAGTTAATATTAATCAATAGTCAAGACTTCATCATGTCATTAGTGCACTACCATCGATGATGTATTATTTTCCTCTTTTATATAATGACCAATAATTTTCTTGGTATTTTATTTTGTAATTTATGCATTATTCAGACTAATTTGTTTAAAAATGAGTCCCACTACAATATTACCAAAACAACCCCCAGATCTTGTCAGTTTGGGACAGTCCTACAATTTTGTATTTGCCCCTATATAAAGCACATTAATTATTGAAGTTTTAAGTTTGGTCCATGATTTATTAATGAATTAAACTTTTTGTCCAATCAAATTAATGAATTTGTGGGTCCTTTGATTATAAATTTTCCAATCATTTAAGGTAAAGAGTAATGGATACCGCGTAAATAAGCAATGGTTGGTGGTGGATCCTAAAGTTCTGCTTAAACACATGGGTAACCCTCCCCTCCTTTACATGCAAATCCCATACTATTCCATATTTTTTATTCTTAAAAGGTGGATTATAGTAGATATTCTTTGTTATAATAAAGCACACAAAAGTTATAAATAAAATATCCCTAGAATAATTTTATCGCACCCTTTTATTCGGTATCTCTGATCATTAAGGTGACTTCGTCTCTTTGCTCGAGGGTGGTCTTGCTCAATCACATAGAATTGTATTTAACATGATATTATTGCTTTTTATTACCCTATTATTAATCTTCGTTTATTACCATTAATTTTTTTAATATTATTATTGTTCAACATTGTTAGATCTAGTTTGAATGTTTGGTTGTCTAAAAGGGCAAATGATTTTGACCATATTGACGTGAGAATCATTTATATTGAAAATCCCTCCGGGAGGGTTCCAAATATAAAACAGAAATAATTTACTCATAATGTAGTCATTCGAGAGGGATGTCACATTGAGGTACAGATTAATATTAATAAATTATTTTCTGTCTCATTAATACGATGTACCTATCTCTTGGACCACTGAATTAATCTAAATTGATACCATTGAGAGGAACTTTTTGTTCATAATAAAAGGGCCCTAATGTAACCATCTTGGGGAACCAATAGTAACTAGGACTCTGAGTGATTACAAGGAGGTCTTAAGTTCGATCAACTTGAGTTGCTAATAGAAGGGTACTGAGAGATTTACTCGACTGTTAACTTCAGAACCTCGAGAGATTTATTATTATACGCACAAACTGGATTGGACAACTCCAATCACCCAAAAAAAAAAAAAAAAAAAAAAAAAAAATGGCCCCCCGGTGTCACTTTTCCTCTACTCAACCTTAAAATTTGGGCCTTCATTGTCAAGGCCCACAATAATTTTGAAAGAACAAAGATGGCCCATCAGACTTCTTTGCGCATTATTATTGGGATTATGAACAACTCACTCTACTGAATACGGTGGGATCATTAAACTGAATAATAAAAGCACTTGTATAATTAAAAAAAGCACTTATAGAATTAAAGAAGCACTTTTACTGCTTCCGTAAAAGAATCCCATGTGTTACCAAACTAAAACAAAAGATGAACTTCCAAAACTACTCCATAATAATGCTTGAGTAAATAAAAATTCATTATCAATAGCAGGCTGCAAATTCTCAACAGGGAAATCAATAAATGAGTGGCAGATTCAAAATTCATTATCAACAGCAGGCTGCAAATTCTCAACAGGGAAATCAATAAATGAGTGGCAGATAGCAGAGGTAAATTGGGGCTAAGGACACTCAAAATCTTCCTATTTGGTAACTATTATGAGTTAAAATGGAATTGCAATATCTTTTATGAGTTGCAACTTGCAAACACAATGATTCTGCCTCGCACAAAACAAAAATTCTCCATTCAAACATGTTGCATTATACATCATAGAGGTATTTCAAAGCAAAAGACAAACCTTCATCACCAAAGTAAGCTCTAAAAATTTTGTCCAGAATCATGAATTGACTAAAATGTAGACCCTTGTTTGATGGTTGCACAGTTGGCGCCACCGATGAGCATGACCCTTGTTTTTGTTTTTCTTTCGGGCCCCTTGGTAGAGATGACCCACAAAAATAAGTATGCATAGTTCAATCCTGTGATTACCCTTTCTGTTTTGTGGACTCAACTTGGCAAAAAGATGGAGAAGGAGAACTTTGCATTGGCCTATATGAAACTGCATGATGTCTAGATTCAAAGATTCATTATCAAACAGCAAGATGGAGCTTTAATTACTCCAAAAATAGTGCTACTAGATTCATTATTAAACATCCTGATAAGGAAAATACTAACAGCAAAGCTAGGCCACTTCAAATTGCTTCTTTTGCCTTCGGGCATTGATGGAGATAGGCAAGTATCAATGGCTGAATGCAAACAACTAACTGTGAACAAACAAGGGCCTTTGGACATTGATGGAGATAGGCAAGTCATTGTTAGTCCTGAGCAACTCACCAGTATACCAGAGGCTCTGCCTTCACCTATGCAAAGTTTCAAAACAAACAAGAGGGAACAAAGAATGGGCTGGTACACATTTGTTTAATATTTATGAGTTCAATAAATTATCTAATCTCACTGATCTACATTACATGTTTCATTCCTAGTAAGTTCCTATGGGTGACTGAATGCAATATAAAATGCCTCAAGAGAGATTTAAATTTGAGATTCTTAAGCCTCATTTCTGATCATTAATGTATTAAATGTACCAGAACAACAGCACTAGAGGAAAAACTGTCACCTCTTTCTTTGCATTGTACTCCTTACACGTTGCAAAACACGAACAAACTCACAAAACGAAGAGAAGTCAAAACCAGGAAGAAAGTCGATCTCTGCAGAAGAACTTCCTGAAACATGAGGAACTGGGTTCTGACAGACAATAAAGTCAATACTACCAAATTTCTCAATTAGACTCTCAACCTTTTTGGTTGTTAGCGTCTGGATGTCTTCTATCTGCACCAATTCACCTATTTGCCCACTACTACGCCACCATCTCTTGAGAATCCTCCGATTAGCTTCAGAAGTGTCTACAGAAATAACACCTTTCAACTTGATGCCAAGCCGATTTAAAGTAACTTCAGCACCACCAATTCCACTGAAGACTGACAAAACTGTGAGCCCTTCTGGAAACATAGGATTCAAAACAGAGAGGTGGTAACCCAAAGTGTCTGTCTGAAAGCAGTGTCTCAGTAATGCCAGTCTTTGTAGTAAACTATTTTCATCAGCTTGAGTGTGACCCATTGGGTAACCTAGTATACGTTCTAAATATTCAGGATCTACAGGGCTGAGTTTGTATTGGCCAGCCCATACAAGATTAAATTTCTGGCAGTGATGAAGGATATATCCCTTCTGTTCTGGTGATGGCACTCCTTTAGAATCAATTAAAATCTTTCCAAGCCTATCACAGAGCTGAGATATTTCACTAGTTCCAGAACTGATGCAACTCAACTGCTTCCTTGTATCCCATGAAGGCCACCATTTCTTTGTATGTGGTATCGCCTCTTCTATGGTCATTGGTGACTTTGGAAGGATGTGAAACCTTTTGGAGACTGGAAGATTGTGTACATAGCCTTCTTTCCTATTCAAAGCAGAGAAGAACTGAGTAGACACAAATTCCGGCTCGATTGCATACAAAAACTGTGAAATTTTGGTCCAGCAACCAACGGATGTATTAACAACATCTCCATAAAAAAAATAGGGAGATTTAGCCACCATTTTATCAAGACTCTTGCACGGATTAGATCTGAATATTGTCTGCACTTCTGATCGGGGAACAATGGGGCTAACTTTTTCCTCTAGCCATGAAGTGTCAAGAAAAGAGCTAGAATCATCCATATACTCTTGTTTTGGCCTTTTCCCTTTATGATTTTCCTCAAAATCAATATGCCGAAACTGAGAAGCACCATCTGGTAAGTTACCAGAATACACTTCTTTTGGCCTTTTCCCTCTACTAGTTTCCTCTCGGTTGTTGAGTTTTCTTGACTGAGAGACAGTATGTGGACTGAAATCCTCGGTTTTGATTTTTACTGTATCATATGAGTGATGTCTTAAACCATTTTCCATCCCCATACCCGAAGATCTACCAACCTTTGGTGTCAGAATCCCAAGCCACCAACGTTGTCAACCCATGCAAAACCAACTATTTTATTAGTTGACCCTTTTTAGGCTTAAATCACCATACTAATTATGAAAGGAGAATATGGCCTATAAGAATACTTATGAAGTGGAAAATTAATGACTGGTAATGAAATTGAACAAAAAAATAAAAAGGAAAAAACCTTATTCCTAGCGACACGATTAGAATAAATTTCACCACTAAAGATTGACTCGGCAAGCTCTGAAATTGGAACATCTGAACCTGAAATAAAACAAAGGAAGTAAAAGCTAATAGTTAGCTAAAGTGGCAGGCAATCACTGATAATAAAATATAATGACGAAGCAAAACAATTAAGAAATTCTCACACTTGCAAGATATAAATACCAAAATGACTACCAGAGCTAAAAATGAAAAGTAGAATTTTTTCAGAAAATGGTGCTCTTCGGCAAGAGAAAAGAACATTGAATTGATATCAATTAAAGCTATTTCCAAAGGATGAATGGCAAAGGTAGAGTGATAACACAGGAAGATATTATAGTGGCCAATAACTGGGAAGGTACAGAACTTATGTTTTCTTATTTACAATGTATACATACCAAACAAAACTTTATATTTCTACTGTTCAAGGCCTAACTAACTAAGGAAAATAGAATCAGTACCCCTACAGAAAGCATATGCAAAAATGATGTAGAACGCTGGTACAAGGGAAAACACACCCAGATAAAGCAAGCAAACCCGCCGCTCACTACAATAAAAATTGATTATAGAATATGTAAAATATTCCAGACATTTCAATAATAATTTAGACTTAATTTCGAGAATTACATGGAAAAATACTTGCTGCACCTTGCTTATTGATCAAAATTGACATTCAACAAAGTCCAGACATTTCTATAATAATTTAGATTATGTATTTTGTTCATGTTGCTTCTCAAATATAGTGGAATTTAAATGCCAAAAGATATATTACTCACCAAATTTCTCAATTGCTAATGAAACTTCATTTTCAGAGAAACCCATTTCAAGCAAATGAAGTGTTTTATCCATGGTCCCAAACAAGGTTTCATTATTAACATCCTGGTAATCAAAAGGTCAAACAAAGTATTAGCTATAGTTCAAATTATCTACAAAAACACGAATACAAGGGTATAACATAGATATTGGTCACATTATAAGAAATGGTGCTATTTTAGAAGTTGAATTTGTCCCACATCGCCAAGTTGGTGGGCTGTTATAGTGTATATATGTGGTTGGGCTCCCTCCTCCCTTGCGCTAGCTTTTGGGGTTGAGTTCTGCCCAAACCTATTCATTATGGTATCTACGTTTGTTTGGGGCGATGATGGGTTTGGAACCTGGTTCTGCATGCCAAGCGTGAGGGGGGGTTAGAAGTTGAATTTATCTTATATCGCCAAGTTGGTTGGTTGTCATGGTGTATATATGTGGCTGTGCCTCCTCCTCCCTTGAGCCAGCTTTTAGGCTTGAGTTCTACCAAACCCATTTATCACTTATTTCCTCAACATATTAGAAAAATGACATCAAGATAAATACTATTACATGAAACCATCAATAAAGACCTCATTTTTCCCTTCATCTTCATGAGGCATATCATCTGTTTCCTTCTCAATATTTTCAGCTATCTGAGCAGCAATAATAAAGTCCACCAGTTCATTAATGGGAGCAGCTTCACCTGAATGTGGCAATGTGAGACAATTCATGTTAAAACTAAGGTTATGGTTACAACATAATCGGAGCTTAAATGTAAGGTGAAGTGACATAGTCAATGATGTCATAACACTAATTCAAAGAAGTAGTATATGCGTGAAATAATTGAGACTAATGCAGATCTTAGAGTCAACACTAATAGTAGTATAGTACCAACACAACTCAATGGCAATAGTAATGATATAATAAACCGTATGACAGCACCAACATAGTTTCATATTATCATATGGATAGCCACAGAATTCTTAGAAAACACTATTAAAATTCCTGAAGCATTTATTTCCACTAAGATTTTTGACAGTGTATTCATTTTGGCCAAGTTATGCGAGAAGCAGAATAACTTCACCATCTTATATGCAAGTAAAGTTTNAGATAAATACTATTACATGAAACCATCAATAAAGACCTCATGTTTCCCTTCATCTTCATGAGGCATATCATCTGTTTCCTTCTCAATATTTTCAGCTATCTGAGCAGCAATAATAAAGTCCACCAGTTCATTAATGGGAGCAGCTTCACCTGAATGTGGCAATGTGAGACAATTCATGTTAAAACTAAGGTTATGGTTACAACATAATCGGAGCTTAAATGTAAGGTGAAGTGACATAGTCAATGATGTCATAACACTAATTCAAAGAAGTAGTATATGCGTGAAATAACTGAGACTAATGCAGATCTTAGAGTCAACACTAATAGTAGTATAGTACCAACACAACTCAATGGCAATAGTAATGATATAATAAACTATATGACAGCACCAACATAGTTTCATATTATCATATGGATAGCCACAGAATTCTTAGAAAACACTATTAAAATTCCTGAAGCATTTATTTCCACTAAGATTTTTGACAGTGTATTCATTTTGGCCAAGTTATGCGAGAAGCAGAATAACTTCACCATCTTATATGCAAGTAAAGTTTATGTTAAAAGTCAAAAGGTAAAAAGTAAGGAATCTAAAAAGTTCCTTACAGTGTAGAACAAATGGCAATAACAGTTTCAGGATGTGCAAGCATCACCAGCAAACATTATTTAATGCAAAGTCCAGAAAGAAAATGCAAATGTTATTCAATAAGTCATCTTATTGAGAAACCAAAAAGAAAAGGCAAACATTATTAAAATAAAAAATACAAATTTAGGAAATTAGCAACACACCGAGTTTATCCAATGCAAAGTCAACTAGATTGAGAGGAAAATCCATCTTTAGTAAGGATGCCCTTTTTTCATCATTATCTTCATCTATATCAGGTACATCTGGTTCCTGCAGATAATTGAAGATAAAACCATTATATGATATATTGAAGATTCACACTAATCTAGGTTCTTCAGGGAGCACAGATATAAACACACTGTAATATTAAACAAGATAATAGCAGGTTACCTCTTTTGGTTGAAAAACTGGGGAAATTTCTGGTTGACTAACACTATCCTTGTCACCAAACAAGCTATCCAGAGAATCTGATGACTGAGAATTAGATTTTTGATGTTCCTATCACTCCAGAGCAGACCCAGTATTAGCCATTAAAACCTTGTCTTGTCTTTTTAACCAAAAGTAAATTATCACAAAGACCGTACAATGAATCAAAAGTAAAATGCTCCATTAGAAAGAAACATAGTAAAAAGCTTAAATTATATAGGATAGCACACATTTTGGCACTTGTATTTAAAAGTTCATTAATCAAGACCGTTTGAAACAATTCACTACATAGGCCAAGAAGCCAATGTATCAGCATAGAGTTTAATATTGATAACTTGGCACATCAAACAAAATTCTTACTCACACAAATTAAGCAAGCAATACAAAGTAGATAATATGTGAAAAATCATGAAATCGAGTATGCTTAAATGGCAACGTAAACCTTATTGCTCCCCATTATTTTACAACAGAAAACAGACAGAGCAGTGGTTATTCTATCAATATCAATATCAATATTCACACAGAAAAACATATCTGCCCAAGACTTTCTAATCACTTACCGAGTACCCAAGAAGCATCTCCAATAATAAGTCAAGGTCATCTTCACCTGAATTGAAGAAAAGATCAAGAACACTGTATACATAAAGTAGTTTAAAATGAATTACCAAGTACCCAAAACCCAAAATCATGAAAATGATTCCTCCCTCTACCCTCTTCAATAAGATAAACCAATAAAAAGCTCATATTCATTTAGGAATAACAGTAAAATACCCTTTTCTTCAATGACTTTGTTGACATGAGACGGTGAAAATCCCATCCCAATTAAAGATGATCTTACATTACTTCCAGATGAACTTGCATTGTTGTTCTGAAATTACACAAGAACAAAAGCTTGAATTTTTTTTTTTTTTTTGGGGTTAAAAAAATTAAAACCAAAAGAGTAATAAATTAATTTGTCAAATCACAGGCATACCCCTACATGGCTGGAGTACATACAGTCAGCTGGCAACTCAAAGTCCAAGATCTCACTCTTTGGCACGATTGGTTTCTCTCCATTTTCACCCTCCGAAATTGAAAGTACACAAATAAATAAAACAAGTATAAAAATTTCATTTACAACAGTCTAAGCTCTAAAGAGTAAATAATTAATAAACAAATATTAGCACATACCATTAAGCAAACGGAGAGAATTCACAAAAGGCCCCAACGAAATGCGAAACTGAAACTCGTTTTAATCTCTGCAACACGGACATGCAAAAATCAACTGAGTCACCTCTCCCCTTGTGTCGGATGGCAAACCTTTACCTATTGGGTTGAGTTAACTCTACTGGGTTAGCTATACCTGGGTCATGTGTTTGATTTACGGAAGACAATTACCGGGTTTAACAAAAAATAAAATGAAATAAATCAATATAGTTTTGTAACTGTCAAAAACACCATAGTAAAAAACGTTTCTTTACAGGGACTTGGTTTATCGCGTTAGACTGAAATAGATAAAATCGTTTTCTTCGAGAAGAGAGCTTTTAAAATTTAAAGTAATTTGGTAAAGTGAGGTGCATAGCGGGTGCTGGAAGCGCGACATACCTGATCGCAGAAGGGAGTCAGCTGGTGTTTTTGACCCTTTTTGGAGTTGGAAAGCGTTGAGAGTACGGACAGAATCAATTGAAGTAGTACAGTTTGAGAAATGCGGGAGCGTTTCGATTGCTTAGGGAGTACACGAGGCAGGAGGCTGAGTGCTTGTACGATCAGAATCCACGCTGTGAATGTGATTCTGTTTACATCTTCGTCGTCTTCCAGGTGTTGCATGTATGAGACGTGGCAATTATATTTTTAAAACTTTAAAGTTTTAATTAATTAAAAATTAAAACGAGAAAAACTAGAAAATTTAAAAAATTTATTTTTTAATGAATTTATTTTTTAATGTATATATTAAAATCCTTTTAGTAGGGGTGAGCAATTTTTTAGAATAGAAGTAGAATCAACAGGTATTCGAGGTGTCTGTTCTAATTCCAAATTTGGTGGAATCGACATTGTGCGGATCCGAGTCTGGGTCTGGTTTCGATTTCAATTCCAGTTCGATCACTTCAAGAACCAAACTCGGACTTGGGAACTAGAATTGAAGCTAGAATTGAGGTTTGGGTACCTGTAGTAGAACCGACAAGTGCCCATGGTGTAATTATAATTTTCACAAAATATATTTGTTATTTTTGCAAATATGAGGACAGAGTTTGTAATTTTATGTCAATAGCACCGAGTACCTGAGCCTGGAACCTGTGGTACCACAAGTTTCGATTTCAAGCATTTAGGAACTAGAACCGACTCCAATTCCTAAATCCTAAGAACCTTCGGGTCTTAGACCAAGTACCTGGACCCGCACACCCCTACAACTTTTAGTAATTGAAAACATTATTTTATTATGTATATATTAAAATCCTTTTAGTAATTGATGTTAAAAACTTTTTGACATTCTCTTAATAAAATAATTAACAAAATTATTATAAAGCTATTTTTTCATAAAATTTACTTCCAAAAGTTATGTAAATGAATAAAATTTAAACAAAAATAATTAATAAAGACTAGAAACAAGCATATGAGAAGCTAAAGTTGAAACATCAAAGCAAAGGAGATTGTAAAAGACGATGAAACCAGAGAAACCAGAGAAAGTATAATATCTTCTCTTGAATATGATGATGGAACAAGAAAATGGAATGGAAACTTTTACAATGTGGTTCCAGTTTACTTTCACAAGCAGGAACAAAACAACAAAGGCATCAATGTATGGTATAAACCAAGATAACCTGAAGCAAAATTTTCAATTCACCACAGCCTGTTACAGAGATCAAGTACGACCCAAGTTTTCAACAAATTTGGGATCAGTTTTTAGGCTGCGGGCCTCCCTTGTCAAGCTGTAGTGTCTTAGGATCAAGAGGAATTGTACCAACTTTCAAAACACCAGAAGATTCAGCAAATCCATTGACTTTAATAGGCATTGATCCCACTGTAAAGACATCATTCAGATCAGATTTGCCAGCATCGATTGCAGCTTCAGCCAAGGGTTTAGACTCGTCTGGCCTTGGGTTTATAGCAAGTGAATCAATGCTTAGGGTTCGCATGATACTGTCTTCTACTTCGACCACAACTTCCTTGGCATTTCCATTACCAATACTTGAATTGGTCACATCAGAATTTGAAGAAATTTTATCAGTGGCAGAAGTTAGACTTTCTTCTGCTCTGTTAGGATCAATATTTTTGTTAGTTTTCTTATCGCTCTTCGAAGGTAGCTCACCAACACTATTTAACTTGTCGAGCCCAAATGCAGGCAGAAAGATTGGACCTTTAAAACTTTTGTAAAGTCTAGCTTTCTCTTCCTGGATGAATTTCTGGCGATTTTCGTAGTACATAAAGTCATCAAATAAAGAGGTATTCAATGGATGGTTTTTGAATATCTTCAACATCTCCAGACCTTCCCTGAACATTATCTGCACATGAAGAATTGTTTAATAAACAAATAATTCATAATCTTAAACCATACAAATTAAAAATTCCTAAACCTAAGTTCCAAAATCAGGATACCATTAATATATTAAAATAAATAAATAAACTAAAAGAGAAAAGCTAGCAGACGATTCAATTGACAAAAGCAATAGTACTTATTCCAAATAACTCAAGTCTGGTAAAAGCTTAGTTGCAGCCATTTGGCTATATCAAAATGCTAATTCCATCATTTACCCAGGGAAAATAGCTTCCTTTCACCCTTGAATTGTTTATCATCCTTCCCTATTCCTGCTGCTGCACAAACTTTCTTTGCACCACACCTCATCAATGTAAACCCTAATCATCATTATTGTACAGAAGCTTCCACTATGTATAATTGGAACCATTACAGCAAAGTGTATATTAGATCTAATACTGCAACCTAACAACATATTCTGTCTGATAAAGTGCATTATAATATATTAGATTTATCAGGGCCTCACATCTAATAAGGATGGACATAACACATCTGCTATTCAGTCCCAATAAAAGTCAAGCAGAAAAAGTTTGCAAGGACAAAATGATGGCTAACATATTCATAGGCAGAAGTTTCTTCATAAAACTTGAAAAGAAAATACCAAAAAAAAAAAACCCCTAATATACCTCTTGTGTATCTCTGCTATTAGTCACGGGCTTGTTCTCATTGTTCTCTAATATGATGTGCCTAAAGCAGGTATTTGCCACATCTTTGATGATATGCCACTTGACAGGGAAGCTCCCACTCCATTTATCTTGTTGCCAAAAATCCATGTCTTTATAGAAGTCAACAGGACCAATCATCTCTGCAACACCACAGAATTGACTACTTGCATTAACCTGTATTAAAGACATGTCTCATCAGCTTAGCCCAATCAGAAAGGATAACTCAATTAAGACCATTCTCTGACAAAATAAAAATTAAATTGGCTGTAAAATAATAATTGATGCTAATTTATAGAGTTGTTACAGTGGACTCACAGAAAAGAATAGGAAGATAGGGCATCCTCTAGGCTTCCCAGCAGCTATTCTCTGTGCATCATCATAAGCACTCTGAAGCTTCTTGTTACCATGAGAAGTAGATGACCAAACACCATATTTGATACTCTTGTGAACATCATCCTCGCTATATGATTTAATTACAAAAAATTTTGCAGCAACGTAGTCAACTAGAAAATCGTCCTTATTATACTGGTCAGTATAGATAATGATGTTTCCTTGGGCATCACTGACCCCAGCTTTGTTTGTATAGTCTTTAACCGACGGCTGATCTTTCGATTTTTTGGTTCTAGGGCCCCGATTCTGTTCACTAAAAGCAAACACATCACTGTTTTTATTCACTTCATTCAGAGACCTGCCAACTGCTAACTTTGGACGAACCTTATCAACAGGTGTTCGTTCACGCCCATTCAATCCAAAGTCAGAAAAGTTATTACTGTCAGGTAGGGCAACTTTAAACTGGTTATGATAAGTAAGAACTTTTCCATGGGAGATGCCATCAACTTGTTGACTCAAACCAGAAGGAGTTCTACCCTGAAAATACAGATAGGGTATCAAACCTACTCCAAAACTGGTATAGAAAGGAATGATATCATGCACAGAAAATGAAATAGTTTTTGAAGTCAAAAAGTTCATTTTACAACCAAATCATACGCTTATTAGCCTGGCCTAAACTTGAAAGGTGAACAAAGTGATTTATATGGACTTTATTGAAAAACAATGTCTCTTTAATGCATTCAGGTGCCTGATGCCAGGCAATTACTATTACAAAAAAAATACCACCATAGTTCCCACAGTAAACAAGGATATTCAACACTTTTCACCCTCAAAAAAAGGAAAAAAGGTCTTCTTTGAACATTTTAATTCAAACAAACATACCTGAAGAACACAGGATGAGGCTGCAACAGAAGAACTACCAGAAGGAACACTTCCATTTGTCACAGCTTGCTTACTTGGTCCAATGTTAATTTTAGCTCTAGGCACTGCTGATACCCTACTCGAGGAATATTTCTGATTTGAAGCAGATTTCAGAGGATTTATAGGTAAGGCTGCAGATGCTGATGCAATATTATGCTTGAAACCTCGTCCATCAGGTCTACTAGCAATAGATGTAACGTTACCCAGCAAGGGGTCTGGCAAACTATTTGGGATGATATCTGGTTGAATGACAACTGGAATATAAGCAGATGATGATAAAGGATCTTGATAAGGAGGAATGGTGTAGTGCTGTTGGGCCCCTATAAATTGGCCATCGACTCCCATTACTGCACCAGGTATGTAAGGATTGTATGGGTTGTATGGAGACTGTGCATATTCATAGCTAGGAGTATAATATACATAAGGCAAACTTTCAGTTTGCGCACCCTGAAAAATAAAATCTTTACTGTATGAGAACAACCAGATGTGAAAAGCTACATAGAAGCAACGCATGAAAGGGTGATACAGAAACAGTCACTTGCCGCATGATGGAAATCAGGACCATCTACACCAAAAATCTTGCGGTGGTCCTCCCATTCTCCGGGTGATTCCAAACCTAATAAGAAACCAATTTCAATCAATAAAGCAATTGATATCCATTAAACAACTAAAATTTCACAATACTCAGGCTGTAAAGTTACCTGTACAATAATACCCATAATTTGTGGCAGTAGGATAATAATAACCCTGATCAGGGGCTCCTTCGTTGTACATTGAGTCAAATTGTCCAAAAACTGGAGCTATAAAATTCGGGTTTGATTCAGCACCTTGAATCTATAAGTCAACAAAAGCACATGAACATAAACATAGGATTCATAAAACCATTCAAGCATAACCTACTATTCCAACAATCAGCAACTTCAAAGAAAACGATACCAGATAATTTTCACCATTTCCGTTATCAGAAACATTATACATTTCCATTCAAGTACTGCCACCACCCTGTAAAAAATACACAAGCTACAAAATAAACTTACAGCATATATAGTTTTCCTCATCAAAATAGGTAACATGTCACAAGTAACAAACTGATACTGAAAAGAGCCAACACAGAAATCAGAATTACAACAGTCAACTCAGTTCAAAAAGTCAACAAACGCTTAAACAAATTGGGTAAAACAGTAAAATACACTCAAATTCAATCAAGTTATCAAAACAATTAAAAAAAATCAACATAAAAACAAAGCTTATGAATCTGGAACTACTCCAAATTAACGCAACATATAAAATAGTACCAGAAAGAATAGAATAATTCAATTAGGCCATGTTTGAAGAGGAGAGATTTTGGAGAAGGAAATTGGACGATTTGAAGAGAGAAGACGAAGTGCTCTGTAACATTTTCTTTCTTATAAATGAAATGAAACCCTAACCCTAAGAGAGAGAGAGAGAGTTGAAAGGGCGGTTTCGTTGTGCGTGTTAACAAAAACCAGAGAGAGAGAGAGACGCGTAATCAGATTCTTCAATCTATAATAAACTTCGTTTTGGGCGGAATTTTTATGGTTGTCGATTAAATGACGAGGTTAGCCTTGTTGGTTTCTTAAACATCGAGAATGCCACTGAGTAGGTGAAATTTTCAGTCTTTTTTTATTTTTTATTTTTCCAGTAACATGTTGAGTCTCTTTTGGATTTTTTTTATTAAAAAGACTACACATAAAATAGAAATTGACTAAAAATTAATGAAATATTTTTTTATTCCACAGAAAATTCTACAATATCAAAATACAAAATATACCACAAAAAGATAAATATTAAAAAATAATGATTTTCAGTTTACACATCTCTGAACCAATTAATTATAGCATCGATTAGAAAAATTTTGATAAAAATATTTAAAATTTAAAATTCTAATAGTAATTTTACATTTTATACATGTTTTATTTCAATAAATATTAATTATCATTTTACCTAAGTTTTTTAAGCTCTTAAAAATCTTTTATTATATGGGTTTTTTTTTTCTTTGTCTATAATATATCAAGAATTATTTATTTTTTTATAAGCAGATAATTTTTTGTATTTATTTAGAAATATTAATATAATCTTTTTTTTTTTTTTTTAAATGTGAGTGGTAAACCGTCAACCAAACGGTGAGCAGCTGCCGTGATGGAGAACCCATCCAAGTTAGCGTTACGTAAATATGGTGAGTTCCAAGGTTATTTTTGTACTTTTGCTCAGATCTGAAGAATTCTGCGCGTACTTCGGAATTAATGAATTGAGGAATTTCCCTCCATTACTTCGTGAGCAAGAAATCTTCCCTCCCTCCTGTTTTATACAATTTTCTTTGGTCAATGGAAAATGTCTTCCACTTTAGAGAGATTTTCAATGTAATTTACATTTATTTATATATTAATTAGTTAATTAATTTATATTTAATTTTTGTGGGACATTAAGAAAACAAGACAATGATAATTATATCTTAAAATACATTATCAATGAAGATTTACTCTAATATATAATATTGGTAATTACATCATGCATTGCTCATAGAAAGATGCTATCTAGACAACAGCAAAAATCAGGAGGGGTAAGAAATAAAAATAACTTAATGGGTACATTTAGCTTGGCAATTTTCATATTTCTATGGAAGTCAATGTGTAACTCTATATTGGAAAGAAAAATATGAGCACTTTCCCAGGGCATATGCCATTATTAGACGCTGTTATCCAAAGATGTCACCATTGAAGTAGGAGGCCATCTTTGTCACCTCCCATTAAGAAAAAGCGTCATGACAGAAGCAAGATGGAAGCTTCCTTTGGTAGGTTTAACTTAAGCCAGAGAATGAGAAAAAGGTAAAATTGGGTTCTTCAGAAAGAAAAAGAATTATGTTCCTACTTCTCTTTACTTATGCAAGTATTGAACCAGAAATCTTTGTCTCCACTTCAGTTATAGCCCAATGCCTTTGCAAGAAGAATAATTATAATGGTTTTGGACAATCTATCAAACAAGAAAAGGATATGGCAAAGCCCTTAGAAGGCAGAATTTTTTAAAAACTGCCAGCCAATATTAATGGAAGAATAAGTGTGCTACACGTTAAAAACTACCTCTATGGTCCCAAAAAAACAAACAAAAAAAAAAAAAAAAAAATTCAAACTGTTTCCTCAACAAGGTACTATAATTTCATGACATTGTCAGATAAACATAAGCACAATGAATCAACCAAGAAGAAAGGCAGTACATTTGTCCGCCGCAATGCCACAACCAAGACATGTGAGTGATGTGACCACCACACGTAAACACTAGAGAAAAGAATTAAAAGAAAAAAGGGTTTGAAGCAACCTGATAATCTTGGGGCCTCAAACTACTCCCCATTATCCTAAACATCTAACCTGCAAGAAGCAGCGGCACATGAGCACAGGTAATTTCACTTAAGTAGCCCAGATATCAACCTGCTAGTAAAATTATCACCACTAAAACCTGTAACCATTGAACAAACAGAAAAATGGGCATCACCAACAAAAACACGAATTATGTGTCAGCATTCAAACATCAGTTAAAGATTGTTGGTCCGGATCTGTTCCTGTTTCAGGAAGCACTGGCTCATTCTCAGAACATTCTACTGCCGGTAATGGTGCTGCAGGCTCAGTTGCCGAACCCATACCACCTTGCAAACCTGGAGACATAGGAGCAGCTGAAGACATGGGTGACACCCTTGTCTCAGGAAGAACATCAAAACCAGAAACTCTATGATCTTTCCGGTCACGTGACCTCTCAAATCTATCATAACTCCGACTGCGGCTACGGCTGCGATCACGGCTACGACTGCGATCGTGACTAGGGCTGCGACTGTGGCTGCGGCCACGGGACCAGCTCCGACTCCGGCTTCGGCTTGGGCTTCGGCTCCAGCTCCGACTTCGGCTCCTACTCCTGCTTCCACTTCTACTTCTGCTATAACCCCATGTACGAACCCTTTCTGGACTAGCACTATAACTTCTGCCTCTGCTTCTATCAGTAATTTCTCTTCTATTATCAAATCGACCCCTTCCACGACCACGTCCACGCCCATCCATATTGTTACTATATCGGTCATGTGGGCCTCGGTCATTCCTGCCCCAGCCAACATTACCACCACCAGGGCCACTAAATCCCCGACCCCTGTTTCCACGCCCAGAAAACATCTCACCTCTCCCTTCATGGCCACCAAAACCACTGTCCCTCACACCACCTCGGCCACCAAAGCTGCCATCCCTCATTCCACCACGACCTCCAAAATTACTGTCCCTCATGCCACCACGGCCACCAAAACCCCCATCTCTCATTCCACCACGGCCACCAAAACCACCATCTCTCATGCCACCACGGCCTCCAGAATCCCAATGCCCACCACCACCACTACCAGAATCAAAACGGCTCATCCCACCTCGATCTTTGCCAAAACCAGGCCCACCACGCAAAGCCATCTCCCGCACCTCTGGGGGCACACGCTGATTGGCACCTTCAAGATTTGATCAAATCAGCCGCATACTTCCAGTCCTGCTCAGAGAAAAAGTGTAGGCCACCCCTGTTGCACCTGCCCTACCAGTTCTCCCAATCGATGGACGTAATTCAACCCAGAAGGGAAATCATAGTTAATCACTACCTGTAAAAAAAAAAAAAAAAAAAAAAAAAAAAAAAAAACTCAAATTAATGGATTAAGTGGCATACATTCTTTCAACTGATCCTGATTAGAAAGGAGATTGGGTTAAATGAATAAGCAACAAGACATGAAGTCATGAACCGACCTTATATCTTTAATGTCAAGCCCACGAGCTGCAACATCAGTGGCAACTAGTATTGGGGACTTTCCACTCCGGAACTGATTTAATACCCAGTCTCTCTCACCTTGAGACTTGTCTCCATGGATTGCAATTGCCCCGAAGTTACGTCCAATATTCCGGGCAAGTTGATCACACAACCTCTTGGTAGAGCAGAATATTATGACCCTAGAACCTCGTTCTTGGGATCTCAGGATCTGCTGCAAGCGCCTCTCCTTCTCCATTTGTGGAACTACTTCAACATGCTGCAAGTTCAATAGTTTAAACATAAAAATTTAAAATCCTGTTAGCGAAAGAACAAAGGCTTAACAAACCTTATACTAAAAAAGAAACAGCTATCTGTAATTTCCACCTGCAATTGTCAAAACTGACACTAAAACAACTATTCACTCGAAGAATACTGCAACATCACAATATCCCCAATCCTTGTTGTTTGACCAATTTGAATAAAGTGTCAATTTTAGATTAAAACTATAGAAATTAATTTTCGATGTAAACAAGATTCCCTAAACGTAAAAGCTGCAATCAATAAACCTTTTAAGGAAGTTGTGATCCAAGTATTTGTTGTTTCCAACATATTATTACATTTTCATCATCATCACCTTTTTGGAAGCAAGTCAAATTAATTAAACCACGCACTTCTTCTGTTTTCAAGACAGTAACAGAAAATGAACTTATAAATACCTGCGTGATAGCCTTGTTTGCAGCAAGCTCGTCAACACTGCCAATGTTCACCTGGACAGGATTCACAAGTAAATCACCAGCAATTTTTCTTACGTCTTTGGGCCAGGTTGCTGTGTACATAAGAGTTTGTCTGTGCGGAGGTATCTCATTTACAATCTTACGGATTTGTGGTTCAAAACCCATGTCAAGCATCCGATCTGCCTCATCAAGCACAAGCAGTGAAACTTGTCCGAAGTCAATCTTTTTCATTTCAAGAATATCATTCAGTCGACCTGGAGTTGCCACTACAATATCTGCTCCTCGATCTAATTCTCTCAATTGAGGGCCCTTTGGAGCTCCACCATACAAGCACTGTCGCAAGGATTAAGAGTCAAATAATTTCAAAGCAAGAAGGAATATACATACATTAATCAATTTAATAACATCACAATGAGTATTTAAGACTGACCGTGCAAGAAATCCTTGAAGATCGACCAAATTTATTGGCCTCATCTTGTATTTGGGTAGCAAGCTCCCTGGTTGGAGCCAAAACTAACACTGTCGGACCATTTTGAGGATTATTATGTCGCTGTCTAAGAAGCATGAAGGCGGGGATCAAGTAGCCCAATGTTTTACCGGAACCTGTTTTGGCAATAGCTACTATATCCCTACCTTGTAGTGCAATAGGCCACGTTTGTGCTTGGATTGGAGTTGGAGACAAGAAACCAGCAGAATGTACCTGAAACAAAAGAATCAATTCAAGCAATTAGAGTACACAGAATGTATAAGAACATGCAAACCAAATGCACCCATGGTAAAAAAAATAAAAAAGGTCAACAAAACCACGTCCAACTATATACATAGAGAAAAGATATAAATTAAAAATCCATGGGTATACGGTTGCTTACAGAAGCAACTCGTGGCAACTAAAGAGGGCAATAAAGACATATAAGAGGTGGAGCCAATAATCAAGGAATCTCAGTGTGATTTGGACGAAGGGCCAACCACCCTTTTAGAAGATGCCCAGAAAAGGCTCCAACAGTCCATTTTGCAGCCTCCAAAAATCAGAATAGTTGTTGCATGTGTAAGTGTGCCAATAGCAGTGCAGCGTACGACATATGCTCCTCCTCCGGAGCAGATATCGCACCTGCGACAAGTGAGAACTGATAAGTTTAAAATTATAATAGCAGAAAGAATGGAAGCATATCTTATGTTTGGTTTCTACCCTAGAATGTCAAGGATTAAATTGTATAAAAAAATAAAACTTGCCTCTCTCAGTATCTCTGGGGGAAAACCGGAGGCCTCAAATGTCATGAAAGGTGCTGGAACATTGTCACCCTACATAATTTGACACAATATTGAAGTCAGAAAAAACCTAAATTTGACTAAAGATGCTAAAAAATCAACAAATATAAGTAACAGCTCACAAATAGAACAGCACTTCTTATTTTGGGTTAAGCCACAAAAAAAAAAAAAAAATAAAATAAAATAAAATAAAATTTTAAGGGAGAAAGTAAAATTATATAGCCAAACAGCAAACCACATAAGCTACCCTTTTCACCAAAAAGCAATCTCACTATTCCAAGATCTATGACTTCAACAAATGATACTCATTCAATACACTATCCCATCTTCACCATAAAGTCACAGTCCAACAACCCTTTCTCCTGTGTCTTATTCAACCTAAAAACAAAACCATAAAAGTTCATCTCCTTAGCTTATCTACATCTCCTACTTAATTTTATGCATACTTAACCTTCCAGATTTGGTATCCCAAAATTTTTCATCTCATCTATCAAGCAATAAAAATGCCAGTTTTTAATATACATGTCAATTTTCCATAAGTCGGCTCCACTGAACATCCATATGAAGCTGGCATCAACTAACAGTAACCCCCAATTCATTCCATGCGCATCTATGCTGTTCATATAATCCAAGAATCTAATTGGGTTCTATACCATTTGGAATTCATAATGCATCATCACAAATTAGAAGGGACATGTTAAAAGTAACCAGGCGAGTTCATCTAAAATACAGACCGTTGCAGTGACTTCATGTTGTTGACAGTAGACTTCAACAGGAGAGAGATTAATAACACCAGAAGCCCCCATAAGAGGTGGCCTTAGCATAGCACTATTTGAAAATGGACCAGCATGATTGTACATATCATGCATGGCATTCCCAGGTACAGCATTCAATCCACTGGAATGGCCAGGTGTGATGTTTTGAACAGGAGCACCACTAATCCTTGTCTCCTGAAATGGAGAAGAAACATTTTTGCATATAAGTAACTTGATAAATTATGATATCTCTTTAATGAAACATTACTCAAGCAATATAAATCAATTGAAGTCAAGAAAATGAACCAAATGAAAGTAAAAATGAAAACCATCAACACATGCGGAGGAGGGCAGCATAGTATTCCATTCAAATATCACAAACGATTTGGAAAAGCAAGAAAGATATTTCCTTCCCTAAGTGACCAGGTTCAAAACATATCAATCTTTTCAGCGTTCCGTTTGACCTAACTATAGAGGGGGAAAAGTTATATAAAAAGAAGACACTGCCATCATATAGTATATGGCAACAAACTCAAATAGAGCTGATACATGCTTTCCCATTACACATACAAAATAATCAGCCTCCTGGTCCTGCCTTCATGTTAATGTTGCATCAATTCCCCAATCAACAGTTCTCCAAAGTGGGATTTAATAGTAATACCACATAGTAAAGGAAATAAAAAACATTTGAATATGCCAGTATACCTGCTGACTTCTTGCCACGGGTAAGGCTGCAAGCTTCGGCTGCTGTCCTTCCTTATTGCCATTAAAAAAGTAGTCACTTCCAGTTCTACCATGCACATTATCCTCATAACCCATCTTTAACCCAAATGGAGGAACGTTAGGCTGCTTATTATGCATCATTCCTGGGCCCATCTGATTCTGATACATAGGACCCAGCGGCTGATGAGGCAAATCTGTTCCTGATTGTTGCACTTGATGAGCCATGGGATTAGGTTGTTGCAAATTGACCGAGGATCCACTAAACTGCTGAGTTTGACCCAAATGTACACCCGTCTGTGATATCTGAACTGAATTTGTTCCACCAGGAAGGTTTTGAGAAGACGAAGCACCAGCCTGTTTATACTGGGATGGTGAAAACCCTGTTTGGCTTCCTATTGGAAAATCAACTTCCTCCCTTTTTGAAATCGCTGGCTTATTATACTCTTGTTGACTTGCAAACTGCTGTCCCGCACCAAGTTGAGTATGCTGCTGTGAACTTTGTTGCCCCTGCGGATGGATACTCTGTTGATATGCCATGTACTGCTGATGTGCATATTGATGTCCTTGATGAGGTTGCGTCATCTGTGAATTTTGATGTTGCACTGATTGCTGCCCTGCTTGCTGAGNGACAGCAAACCACATAAGCTACCCTTTTCACCAAAAAGCAATCTCACTATTCCAAGATCTATGACTTCAACAAATGATACTCATTCAATACGCTATCCCATCTTCACCATAAAGTCACAGTCCAACAACCCTTTCTCCTGTGTTTTATTCAACCTACAAAATGTAAAAACAAAACCATAAAAGTTCATCTCCTTAGCTTATCTACATCTCCTACTTAATTTTATGCATACTTAACCTTTCAGATTTGGTATCCCGAAATTTTTCATCTCACCTATCAAGCAATAAAAATGCCAGTTTTTAATATACATGTCAATTTTCCATACGTCGGCTCCACTGAACATCCATATGGAGCTGGCATCAACTAACAGTGACCCCCAATTCATTCCACGCACATCTATGCTGTTCATATAATCCAAGAATCTAATTGGGTTCTATACCATTTGGAATTCATAATGCATCATCACAAATTAGAAGGGACATGCTAAAAGTAACCAGGCGGGTTCATCTAAAATACAGACCGTTGCAGTGACTTCATGTTGTTGACAGTAGACTTCAACAGGAGAGAGATTAATAACACCAGAAGCCCCCATAAGAGGTGGCCTTAGCATAGCACTATTTGAAAATGGACCAGCATGATTGTACATATCATGCATGGCATTCCCAGGTACAGCATTCAATCCACTGGAATGGCCAGGTGTGATGTTTTGAACAGGAGCACCACTAATCCTTGTCTCCTGAAATGGAGAAGAAACATTTTTGCATATAAGTAACTTGATAAATTATGATATCTCTTTAATGAAACATTACTCAAGCAATATAAATCAATTGAAGTCAAGAAAATGAACCAAATGAAAGTAAAAATGAAAACCATCAACACATGCGGAGGAGGGCAGCATAGTATTCCATTCAAATATCACAAACGATTTGGAAAAGCAAGAAAGATATTTCCTTCCCTAAGTGACCAGGTTCAAAACATATCAATCTTTTCAGCGTTCCGTTTGACCTAACTATAGAGGGGGAAAAGTTATATAAAAAGAAGACACTGCCATCATATAGTATATGGCAACAAACTCAAATAGAGCTGATACATGCTTTCCCATTACACATACAAAATAATCAGCCTCCTGGTCCTGCCTTCATGTTAATGTTGCATCAATTCCCCAATCAACAGTTCTCCAAAGTGGGATTTAATAGTAATACCACATAGTAAAGGAAATAAAAAACATTTGAATATGCCAGTATACCTGCTGACTTCTTGCCACGGGTAAGGCTGCAAGCTTCGGCTGCTGTCCTTCCTTATTGCCATTAAAAAAGTAGTCACTTCCAGTTCTACCATGCACATTATCCTCATAACCCATCTTTAACCCAAATGGAGGAACGTTAGGCTGCTTATTATGCATCATTCCTGGGCCCATCTGATTCTGATACATAGGACCCAGCGGCTGATGAGGCAAATCCGTTCCTGATTGTTGCACTTGATGAGCCATGGGATTAGGTTGTTGCAAATTGACCGAGGATCCACTAAACTGCTGAGTTTGACCCAAATGTACACCCGTCTGTGATATCTGAACTGAATTTGTTCCACCAGGAAGGTTTTGAGAAGACGAAGCACCAGCCTGTTTATACTGGGATGGTGAAAACCCTGTTTGGCTTCCTATTGGAAAATCAACTTCCTCCCTTTTTGAAATCGCTGGCTTATTATACTCTTGTTGACTTGCAAACTGCTGTCCCGCACCAAGTTGAGTATGCTGCTGTGAACTTTGTTGCCCCTGCGGATGGATACTCTGTTGATATGCCATGTACTGCTGATGTGCATATTGATGTCCTTGATGAGGTTGCGTCATCTGTGAATTTTGATGTTGCACTGATTGCTGCCCTGCTTGCTGAGGCCACTGCTGACCTGGCTGTTGAGCCATTTGCTGACCTGGAAATGGCATCATTTGTGGTCTCATTTGTGGTGTAAATTGCCCTGGGTGTTGCATGGCCTGACTGAGCTGTGAACCCTGCTGCTGTGAATCCTGTTGCTCAGAAACCTGTGCCACTAGCTGTCCAGGCTGCTGAGGCAACTGGCTCCTTTGTTGACCCTGTTGTTGTGCCATGTGCTGCTGACCATGCTGAGTCATCACGCCATTTGGCTGCATTGAATGGGCCACTGGTAGAGGAGCCAGTTTAGGTGTAGTAGTAGCAGGAGGTGGGCCAGGCGGCAATGGTGGGGGCAGTGCTGCAGCCGGCTTTTCATACTGGGTAATGTTAGTTTCTGGATTCCAATAATATAAAAGACCTGTACTTCCATCAATCAATCCCTTCCAAGGTTTTGGAAGAGTCGGATCATCAGGGGCATACCGTGGGCCAAGAGAAGCAGAAGCCGCTTCTGCAGTTGCCATACAAATATTTGCCTACAAATTTTAAGATGATTATAATGTAAAGACAATCCCCATAAATCCTTCTTCAAGCTGTCTAAAATATAAGCTACTATTTCAGATGAAAAAAATCAGCTAATTCAACACATTATCACAGTCATTATCCTACAGCCATTCATGCAAAATCAATATTAGCTCTTTAAAAATGTAAATTTTGCTTGGGAGTTTCAAAACCATCCTTAGGCTTGGATAGACAAAACCCTAATTCCAACGAGTTAATTCTAAGACTCATATATAGTTATCATACAGACGATCCCATTCACATATCAATACTTGATGAAATTCTAAACTCGTTCCAAAGACAGATGATGTCCATAAGAAAATTACACATTAACTAGACATAACATCCAAACCCAACAGAAAAAAAAAAAACCTAGAAATAAAATACAGATATTATAAATTAATAGCAAAATTATATGAAAATTTTGTCGAGATTACCTAAATCTTTCTATCGAGCTTCGAATTAATTGATATCCTCTAACTGGAGACGGTAAAAAAAATGTTTAGTTGAAAAAGAAACCCTAAAATTGGGAGGTCTGATGTTCTAGTCCTTCCAGTGACAAGAACGAAAAATGAAGAAGAAAACAAGGTAAAACAATAGAGATCGGAACTAAATTTTATCGGATGTTAGGGTTAAGTAGGAACTTATCCCATGTATCGTGGTCGACGTTTATGGTGTACCTTAATTTAAATTTCTGATCCAGTGGTGCCTGTTTGGTCCTTGGAAGCAAGAATGTTATTGATTGGACGATGAAGCGTATGATGAGTTTGCCTATGTGATGTTTCAAGCAATGTGGGGGGCTTTTGTGGAATGATCTGACGGTTGAGATTGCGTGGGTATTACAAATATCTTGGGTAATGAAACATGATTTGATATCAAAAATTGATGACATATGGATGAAAAAACTAAAATGAAATAATAATAAATAAAGATATTTTTAATAGAGTTACACATTAATGCCCTGAGTTATAATATAATGACAAAATTTCTCCTAATGTTTTGAAAATAATCAAAATTCTTTATAAGGCAATTTGGTAAATATAAAATTAATTCATAACAATGTAAAATTTAACGGTTCGTTAACAATTCATTAATGGTTAAAAAAAAATTATTATTTCTTAAATTTCATATAAAGTTTTGTTATTATATCTTTCCTCATAGAATTTTTGTCATTAACTTTTTTTTTATATATTTTCATTTAGGAATTTACCGTCTAATGCATTTATATGCGAATAAATAATATAGAAGGTAACTAGACATAGCTTTAAATAGATAATTTCAAATAGGCCAATGTTTTTTTCTTTTCTTTTTTTAATAATAACTTACATTTATAAGGTAATTGTACTAGTTTTAACTAATACTAATTTCAAAAGTGTTACCTGCGGTATATTGTAATTATTTGTAATACAACCCGGCAATAATAAAATAAAAGTATTATGATAAGATATATTATTAGCAAATGAGGTTGGAGTTTAATTTATAGACCTTTACAGTGTATCTAAATAAACATGTTTTGCATGAACCCCAAATGTTACAATTCAACCTATGCTACTACTGTGACCTACGCCGTACTCTTATCGATATTGATTGTGTGACAATGTGATGCATATAACGTTTTCTCTTCTATAGGAGACAAAGTTGCTAACCGTTAATATAGATTATAGCTGGTGACATACTTTTATTGATTGATTGTATTACAACGTGATTGTCGTGATACATATAATGCTTTCCTACAAGAGAGATAAATGTTACGGGTTGGGAGTTTCATATTCAAAAGGTTAATCCATTATGTAGAAGGACTTCTTTTTATAAACCCAAAACCTCAATAATGTGTTTCTAATGTAGGATTTGTGATATTTTCCCCCATCCAATCTTGTGAAACCGTCATCACAAGTGGGCCCCTTGCCTACTCATCCATCTCACTCTCTAGTGGATCCACTATCGCATGTGGATGCTCCTCTACATGGGCACTTGGGGAGACACCAAAAAACGAATCAGGTATGCTTTGATACGACTATCACAGGTTATGAGTTTTCACACCCAAAAAGCAAACCCATTAGGTGGAAGGATTTTTCCCCTTATAACCCTAATGTCATGGATCCCAAATCGGAAGTATATTGGAGAAGTCTTGGGTTTGTGAGGAGGGGAGTCCTTCCACCTAATGAGTTAGCTTTTTGGCTGTGAAACTCTCAGCTCGTGACAATGGTATCAGAATAGGTATGATCCATATTTCGGTGTCCCGCTAAGCACCCATGCAAAAGGGTATTCACATGTGACTCAAGAGTGAGATTGATGGGTAGGCAGAGGGCTCCACCTGTGATACCTTGTCATAAGATTGGGTGGGAGAGAATGTCACGGATCCCACATCGCAACAAGATTGGGTGGGGGACGGGCTGGGAGTTCAACCAGACTATTTATGAACCTAGTTTTCGGGCATCTGCATATGAGTCCACTACTCCACTTCAAAGTCCACCAAACCGAATTGGGCTATGAGCATTTAGAAGTGGGCTTGAGATTGAGTATCTCAACTTGGACCAATCTAGCCAAGGCTAAGATTGAGTATTTCATATTAATGTCTTAAACTCTTAATGAAAGTAAACGACGTTTGTTTTGGAGACCAAATTACGAATAAGATATGTAGAAAAAGACATGACGTTCGAATAATTGAATAAATGTCATGGAATAGCCGTGTTCAAAGTGAGGAAGAGTCTGAGTTGGCTTAAATAAATTGCATTTTCCCACATGGCCGCTCAAACCAAAAATACTGGAATTTTCTCTAAACTTCCATCGCTTTCTTCCTTTATTTTTGACTCAACCAACGCTCCCCTGAAGCCAACAGAGCTGCGAGATTATTGGTCGNATGATTTGTAATACAACCCGGCAATAATAAAATAAAAGTATTATGATAAGATATATTATTAGCAAATGAGGTTAGAGTTCAATTTATAGACCTTTACAGCGTATCTAAATAAACATGTTTTGCATGAACCCGAAATGTTACAATTCAACCTATGCTACTACTGTGACCTATGCCGTACTCTTATCGATATTGATTGTATGACAATGTGATGCATATAACGTTTTCTCTTCTATAGGAGACAAAGTTGCTAATCGTTAATATAGATTATAGCTGGTGACATACTTTTATTGATTGATTCCATTACAACGTGATACATATAATGCTCTCTTATAAGAGAGATAAATATCACGAGTTAAGAGTTTTACACCCAAAAAGTTAATCCATTATGTAGAGAGACTTCTCTTTATAAGTCCAAGACCTCAATAATGCGTTTCTAATGTAGGATTTGTGACATTTTCTCCCATCCAATCTTATGAAACCCTCATCACAAGTGGACCCCTTGCCTACCCATCCATGTCACTCTCTAGTGGATCCATTATCGCATATGAATGCTCCTCTACATGGGCACTTGGCGAGACACTAAAAAACGAATTAGGTATGCTCTGATACGACTATCACAAGTTAGAAGTTTTCACACCCAAAAGGCAAACCCATTAGGTGGAGGGATTTTTCCCCTTATAACCCTAATGTCATAGATCCCAAATCGGAAGCGTATTGGGGAGGTCTTGGGTTTGTGAGGAGGGGAATCTTTCCACCTAATGAGTTAGCTTTTTGGGTATGAAACTCTCAGCTCGTGACAATGGTATTATAATAGGTCTGATCCATCTTTCGATGTCCCGCTAAGCACCCATGCAAAAGGGCATTCACGTGTGACTCAAGAGTGAGATGGATGGGTAGACAAAGGGCTCCACCTGTGATAGCTTGTCACAAGATTGGGTAGGGGAGAATGACACAGATCCCATATCGTAATAGGATTGGGTGAGGGACGGGATGGGAGTTCAATCGGACTATTTATGGACCTAGTTTTCGGGCATCTGATTACGTTCTCATATGAGTCCACTACTCCACTTCAAAGTCTGCCAACCTGAATTGGGCTACGAGCATTTAAAAGTGGGCTTCAGATTGAGTATCTCAACTTGGACCAATTTATCCAAGGCAAAGATTGAGTATTTCATATTAATGTCTTAGGAGTGATTGTGTGAGCTTATGAAAATTAGCTTATATTTTATATTAATGTCTTAAGAGTGTTTGTGTGAGCTTATGAAAATTAGCTTATAAATTATAAGCATTTAAAATTTTAAACAATTACGTGTTTGGTTAAAGTACTTATAAATGATTGATAAGTAGTTGACGTATTTAGTAAAATGTGGCTTATAAGTATATTTTATTATAAAATGATTAAAAAGGGTACTACATTAAACAAGAGTATACTATAGAATTTTAAAATGAGTAAACGACATGTTCCCACCCAAGGTTTATTGAACTCCCCGAGTGGTACCACTGGTTTCATAAATTCCAGATTCCCACCCTTAAATGGATACCGTTTCCTTTATTTTATCTGTTCAAGGCTAAAATTGTATTTTTCCTCTTCCCTTCCCATTTCTTCTTCATCTCTGCCTCCACCTCCCATCTTCTTCTTTTTCCTTCATCTCAAAACGGTTGCCATTTCAGGCCCACCCGTTTGATTCTGGAGGAATCACCATCACCATCTAGCCATCACCATTCACCACCACCTTTCAACACCATTATGACCGAAACCCCCCGATTCCCCCACACCCACCACCTTTCACTCGTCCACCACCATCACAATCCCTCTAAACCCAAAGCCCCACCGCCAAATCATTCACACATTCAGTGACAAAACCAACCCAAAAAACCATCCCAATCACTCCTAATCCAGCCACAAACCCATCCAAAAACCACCACCAAATCCTCCCAAATTCAACCACAAACCCCACAAAACCACCATACAAACAAATCACAAATTCACGCCGCAAACCAACCCAAAAACCACCACCAAATCACTCACAAATTCAGTCACAAAGCCACCCAAAATCCACCACCAATCCCTCACAATTCAGCCACAAACCCACCCAAAATCCACCCCAAAT